ACGTAAAGGTGCAAAATACAAAAATATTTTATTATCAATAACTGATATGCTTAATTGTCTACTTATTATATACTTTTATATATTTTATCTGCCAAATTTAAATAAGACCAATTTAATTTTATAACCTCGATTTTAGATAGGGTTTATTACATATTATAATTAAAAAAGAATCTGTTCAACCAATTAGAGACAGAGTAATTTATCCTACAATTTAATATTTGTTATTTACAGTTTAATGACAGAAACAACAATTCATAAATCCGCATCCATTTGTTCGTCTACTTTATAAATTATAATCTGATAATAATACTCGTAATTAATAATTTTTCAAATGTAGCACACAGAAATCTTTCTCGTTAGTTTTACAATTTTATGATAGCAGATTTAGTGATTGAGTGTATAACAAGTCTATAAATAAAATTAAAAGAACTTAGTTAGAATCTGTTAGCACTAGTATGCGCCATGGGATCATGGAAACCCCAAACACGAACGATCGCATTATCCATGGTGTGCAACGATGCCCTACAACCAGCTTTAGCCTTGACGCAAACCCATCTAATCCGGCTTCCGTACTTATTGACGCGATTGAAACGGTATTGTCCTATCATGATGACCGGGTTGCCACGTTGAGATTGAGCGAAGACAGGGTTCAAATCTGAAAAAAAAACTCATAGTCAGTACCGTACTAGGATTCAACAAAGAGGTAACTTGTTTACTATACAATAGCTGTAAGAGAGACAATGCAATCGACGGTAAGACTTTATTTCGTCAGAAAAATTACAGCTCTACTGTCTAAAAATCTATATTTCATCCAGTCCGCTTAACTCCTATCGCTACGCACATCATTAACTTATACTTAAGAATATCGTTACGACGTCTATCTAAATATAACACCACATGAAAATCATTATATGTTTTAAATTTAACAGTATTTAAAGGAACTACAAATTATGTCAAAACATTATAATCTTTCAATGGGTAAGTATCTAATGTCATTAGTGTAGTTTTTTCTCCATCCCACCGAGAGCTTTTAAATAGGTTATGTCTAAAGAAGTACATAACATTTCACAGTTTCTTCATCATTAAATACCAACCTAAAACATGAAAACTCAACGTGTTACGTCACACAGGGCAACTAAGTAACAAGACCTTTATTACTTATTAAACACAAGAGCTTGTAAATCATACGAGGAACCTTTATAATATTGTTCAGTTCGTATGTTCTTAAGTGTCACAGAAGAGTTGCAATTAGATGAAAAGATATTAGGTATATTATAGAGATTGATTTTTCTCATTTTTAAACTTAAACTCTTTACCGTGGGTGTCCATAGATGTGACCGTGAGAAGTGCCAGTAAAATCTTATGGCTTTCGATAGATGGCGGTGCCGCAAACACTCGTTCAAACATTCAGATTTTTTTATTTATCACGCATAACAGTTGAGTTTTCGTAATATCATGCTCCAAAGCAGCCATATTTATATTTAAATAATATAAAATAAAATTTTTGGCGAAAAAACATATTTAGTGATCTTACTGAATGCTCACGACTAAAATCATAACAAAGGCTGTAGATATTTGAGATATTCAACTCTGGGGTACCTTAACTTACTATGGCAATATTTTTGTTATAATAGCGAGGAAAGCACATTATATACAATTATAAAAATATATAACTTATACTTGCGGTCCATTATGATGCATCCATGGTGATTTGGATTGATGCATTTACTTGTTTGACTTATATTTATATTATCAATCCAATTCACAAATTAAAAAACCTACGTAAATATAGTAGAGTATAATATGTAAGTATCGTACGAGAATCTCACTACAGCACAAACGCCTTCTTTTGTTTCTTATAACATTAAAACTAAAACGTGACCGGTTGCTTTAGCTGCCAGTACGAAATGAGTGTGAAATTAAAATATTGAGTAAAATAATACGAAGCTTGTAAATGTCAAAGAAGAAAATAAGAATAAGAATTTTGAAAAAAAAATCTTTTGATGTTCGCCACAAAGACTATCGTTTAAAAAACACTAAAATTGGACCGAATGATTCGCAAGCAAAACAATGTAGTATTACAGCTCTTAAAATGTAAGAATTAATTTACACTAATATTAAAGAAAAAAGTTTAATTTCGTCTTACATCATTCAGTACACAAAAGATAACATGCAAAAAATATATAATATATAAAAAAACATTCCCGATGAATTTCACTAAGCTACATGTAAAACCAGTATGAAATCGGATATTATCATGAACTAGTCAAGTCTTTATCAAATTTAGTAACAAACGAGCACACAGTCCACCTAATGGTAAGTGGATGCTGTGGTCCATGGGCACATACATCTATCGATTAAAGTTTACCATCGATTCCACCCATTTGTGTTATAACCATATGCACTGTAACCCTTCCACTTTTTTGTTCACCTAAACAAACCTTAACCAAGGATTTTATCCTGCGTGAAATAGTTTTACATATTATACTAATTACATGTTAATATGCAACATCAACATCTAGATCCGTAACAATTACTTGTAGACAGACACAAATACTTGTTCCAAGCGAAAATAGAACTCTCACCTCTCAGAGCCAATGCAAAATTTTTAGTTACAACGCTACTGTTATGTAATGCCACGCTCTCACAGAATACCAGCGTAAAATAGCAGCTTAATGCCGCTGTGCTTCGTATGGTGAGTGTAGAGAACCGGAGACCCGTTTTACTGGAATCGTGGCATTCTATTTTAGTCCTCAGGGGTGACAACGCATCTGCATTTTGATTCTTAATCGAGGTTATTAAATGTAAATGTCCATGGGCCACAGCACTCACTTACCATCAGGTGGACTGTGTGCTCGTTTGTCACCCTTATTGTATAAAAAAAACTGTGATGTAAAGTCATTAAAAATCTTTAAAATAATTTTGATAGTAAAAATGATAAGTCTTTGAGGCAAAAGAACTTTCAAATAATCACAAGTGATCATCTACGCCGAGGTAAAACGGCTACAGGAGAACACGTATACACAACGCTTTATGCATAAAATCTTAGAATATAATATGTATATATTTGATAGGGTCAAGCGTTACTTTGCGGAAATCCATTATAATAAAGATATTAACAGTTAATTTCAAACCATCCGCTTATTTAAACACAATTATGTGTCTTACCTAGTGCCGGGAGTAGTGGTGCTGGGACTAGTGGTGACGGGATTAGTGCACGCAATTGAGGGAGGGCGGGAGGTGCTCCTCAATCTAGGTAAGACACATCATTGTATTTAATTAAGCGGATGGTTGCAAATTAACTGTTAATATCTTTATGTATATATTTTATGTATACTCTAAACTTAAAATAGAAAATAAACCTGCACTTCATTACATTATGCTTTCTGTTAGATTTTATAAAAATAAGACAACGCTATTAAGCGGCGTATGATGGCGGCTTATGATAATCCATTACCACATTTCATTTGCAAAAGTCAGCTGCGGGAAAAGCCTGAAAGACCTCAAGACCGCCGACATTAGAATTTTTTTTTATTAAAGATGTATTATCGTCAGTGGTATGTCTTTCCTAGTGTAGCGATGTTGGGAGTAAAGGTGACGGGGATAGTGCACATAATTGAGGGAGACCCGAAGGTAGTCTTCAAACTCTGTTAGAAACATCATTTTATTTTATTACGGGGATCTTAGCTAATAAACTTTTACCATCTTTGATATGTTTTTTAGGAGTTTACACGTTGAGAATTGTTTGATATATAGCGCACGGTATGAAAAATAGATGGGTTTAATCAATCTTTAACAAGCAGTGAAGCCGTTATGGCTTTCCCCTGCGCAACATCTCTTAGCGCGAAAAAAACAATGTAATATAAGTCATATATTTTATGTATTAGTATATATTGTATGGATGTTACGTATTATATCAAATCCATATAAATAAATTTATTGGTTCCTTTACCACCAATGGTTTTTCAGGAGTAAACTTCAGTCTCGCATCGGAGCTGATACGCACATTTATTTTTTATAAAATAAGGGTGACAAATGACCACACAGTTCACGTTTTATCATCTTAAACATTATGAGTTAAAGTTACTTGGAACAACGGCGTGATTAAAAAAGAAAAAACGTTTCGAGGTAAAAGGAAGCTATTCTGGCTATTTTTGCGATGATATCCGTATGAGTGTGTAATTTTCAAAAAGTAGTTTTCTTGAAATTAATTTGACACCCTTGTTTTGATTAATTCTATAATTAATCAGCTCTTCTACTCAAAAAACGACGTCGATTGCCGTGAAATGCATCAAAATCGGTTGATTTGCTCGAGGGATATAGTTGACGAAAGAAATTTTTAAAAAGTGTTTTTTCAAATAACTTGAAAACTTTACGTGAAATCAATTTTTTGTAAAACATTGCGTCGATTGCCGAAAATCACATCAAAATCAGTTGATTTGTTCGTAAAATATTTAATTTTGAAAAAAAAAATGAAACGTCATAACCTGAGCACTGAGAGAGAATGCCTCGTTTCCAGTAAAAAGAATCACTGGTTCTCTACAGTCACCATACAACACAGCAAGTACACATAGAAACACAGCAGTATTAAGCTGCTATTTTACACTAGTATTCTGTGAGAGCGTGGTCCTTCCCCGGTCGAGCCGACCCATTCGTGTTACAACCATAATATAGCAGCATGGCTCCATTACGTTAAAAAAACACACCAAAGTAACGCTGATTCTATTAATATACAAAAAAGAAGCACGAAAAAAACCCAAAAGCGGGGGGTATGCACAGCTAATGCGGTGTCTATCCTACCTGCCTAATCCTTGTAATAATGGTTAGAAGGGTTCCGTTGATAAGAAAAAAAACGGCCCAATCTTTAAAAAAAATAGTTTCGTGCCTATTATAGTGAACATCTTCGTAACACAAGTGTCAATATTGAGTTGCTAACGACATTTCAAAGCTAAAGCTAAATTAATTTTTAATATAAGAGAAAAAAGAGAAAGCGTATAGATTTAGTGATTATGCTTTCCGAGGGTCTTCACAATGACGTTGTCAACGGTGGTGATGGCAGCGGTGCAACCGTATTTCTTCTTGATGCAAGTCCAGCGGACCTTCGAGCCCCAGCAAGCATGTTTGTTGAAACGCCAGTCTCCAATCTGTACGATGAGATTGCCACGCTGCGACAGTCCGAACTTTGGCTCTGAAATGAAATTATAAACTTACATTCCTGCTCCTAAGTTAATTTAAACATATTACGAGTTAGGATACCATTTTATAAAATGCTCCTTTTATTTTAATCCAGTATCACCTTTATTATTTTTACATATTCTAACGTGGTAGAGCCATGCTGCAGCATATTAGTAGTATAGTTGTAGCACGAATGGATCGGCTCGACCGGGGTAGGACCACACTCTCATAGCATACCAGCGTAAAATAGCAGTTCAACGCTGCTGTGTTTTGTATGGTAAGTGTAGAAAACCAGAGACCCATATTACTGGAAACGATACATTCCATCTTAGTCCTCACGGGTGACAACGCATCTGCACTTAAAAAGTTGAAAGAGATTCTTCCCCAAGTTACAAAAGTTTGACGACAGTTCCTGCGTATAGAAACTATAGTTCCCTAGTCAAGGCACTTAAATATGGAAGACAGTAGATTTCCACATAATCAACTTATGGCTTAGACCAACGAAAACTATAGCCGCGTCAAAAAGTATAAAATATTCTTTCTCTCTCTCACACTCTCTGGTGCTTCTCTTCTGTATCCATTACTGGATTTAAGCTTTATCAAGATCGCGCCAAGAGATAACTTGAAAAATGTATCTATACTTACAAAGCGGGTCAATTTCCGAAGAGGAGCGCAAAGCTGATATCCTTGGTATATCACTTATTATATCACCTATCTGTCAAATGTGAATTTGGTTTTCAAACAAGATACCACGATTTATTCGCTGAAATTTATTTCGGTTATAAGCACCGTGTGCACTGTGCGGCTGAATTTTGCGTTTAGAGAACAACAAAACAACTTTTGATATATGCAATTAAATTTCAATGTGTTCAAAAATGCTCAAATGAATATGCACAAAGTTACTCCGGCCAAAAACTTTAGATGACATTAAAACAGATACAATAAAATACATAAAATAAAAAGAATTAAAACCACTAATACGTACTTAAATCTTTATTCTGACCAATTTCTAAAACTATCAATAAATGAACTAATTCTAAATTTTACACAGTAAGGAATGAATAAAATGCATTCGCAAACATCACACACATCAACACGCGTACGAACAACAGTTTTGTAAAATATATTTTTCTACTTCTAATTACTATACGCGCAATACGCAGAATAACGAAGAGATAGGTTTAAGGATTGGGTTCCTGTTCCTATCGACATCTTGACAACATTGATCTTCAAACGTCTGTTCACATGACACGCCACTATTTTCAGATTATTTATTAATTGAATTTTTGAAAAATACAACAAAATGAATTTTATTAAAATTAAATAACAATTTAATATAAAATTATAGAGATATAACATATTACATTTAGAACATTAATATATTGATTTTTTGCACATATGCAATAGTGCGCAATGTAAAGCGGCATGTCAGTTTGACAGTTCTTATCGTGCGCGCATAGTACTTAAACCTATAACATTTAATTGTTATTGTCATATTAAGATAAGTCGCATTAATGCTTGCAGCAATCATGTCTAATAACTTATATAATATGACTCCATTAATTTCATTTGTACATCGTGGATGTATTTTTTTGGGTGTGCCTATTTTTAATAATTTGTATTAACATATATTCTAACCAATAAATCAAGCAACCGCAACAAGTAATAGCTATCACTAAAACTAACACACACAATTAGACTAAGCCCCGTCCTTGGAACTTGGAAGTATAAAACCAGATTAAATTTGGGGGCAAATTACTCGTAACTTATATTCTACAAAACCGCTTAAAATACAAATTCAACACTGTGAACAACAAAGCCTTTAAGAAGTGGTAAATCGTTAAAGAGCATGATTACTTCTTCAAGTCCTTGATACAATTTCTTACGTGATCGAAACTTAATGATTGTGCCAACCGTTCAGTTTCATAAGACGATTGTCCACAGTGACGGCAACGCAGCGACAGCCGCTGCTCTTCCTGGCCGTGCACTCCCACCAGGTCTTCATACGACGAGTCAATTTCTTGATGAACCGATAGTTCCCCCATGATATAGTAGGATTGCCAAACTTCGTCATTTCAAACTTTATAGCGCTCGAGATCCCTAAAAAATACAACCATATTAATATTTGTAGAAGATTGCTATTATTATAGCACTTAGGTATCTAAAAAACTTAATAATATTTCAATTATTATTATTTAACCTATTTTTAAAGTTTACTTAGGGTACTTAATATTAAAAACACGTTTCACACTTCGTATGATAGCTAGGCTAATGATTTAATGATGAAAATAATGATTTATGAATAAAATATGCGTTTATGGTAAATTCTATTTCATAAAAAAAAACACGCAAAACATTTAATTGCTTAAAGCTCATAGTTTTTAGAACAATATCTTTAAAATATTCATACCGTAATAATACCATTATAAAAAAAACTACTGAAGTGACTACGAAAGTATTGCAGCGCTCCTTGGTCTTTATACAAATCCAACGATTTTGGCTGCCCTTGCTCTTCATTAGCTTAAAGCGATAACCACCTACCACTAGTACTGGATTTCCCATCTTACTAGAGCTATAGTCATATATAATCTATATAATATATAATCAATCGACTTCGAACCTAAAATTATTGTTTAAAATTGTGTATTGTTACGCTTTTTTCATTTATTTATCGAAGTAGTTTTTTTTTTCATATTAGTACTGAATATTTTTGAAACCGGTCAGCTAGCAACAACAAAAAGTTTTAATGCATTTACTTGTAATTTCTTATGCTTTGAGCGTAATAGAAGTATGAATATAGTGAAAACAATTGTAAGAATGTATATTTTAAACTGGTTATATACATAGCATCACTAATAACCTGATAGATGATAGAACAAATATTTTTTCCTTAAGGTAAACGGAAACAAGGGATCTTGTTATAACTTAAATAACGTAAGGCTCAAGGCAAAAACTATGTTTTAATAATTAGCACTAGAGTTCTTAAAAAGGACGATATGTTTAAAGTGCTTACCGCCTAGAGGTGAAGGTGAAAAAAACAAGTTAGCAGGCTTCCGACAGCAGCCACTTTTTTTCACAGTGATTGGTACAGATATAGTTGACTTTTTAAGTACCTGAATGTAGTTTGATTTTGTTCTTTTTATAGGACATCCGGCAGTTTTTGGACAAGTAAGTGTTTTAAATTGTGTTTTAAATATCACACTAGACCGATAGCCATAAAAATAAGTGAAGTGAAAGATATTAGATAACATACTTTTGTCATCAAATATAAATAAAATTAAATAAAATCACATTATTCTTAACATCGAGGGTTAAAGCAGTTATGCTTACACTCTTTCAATTTTAACTAAACCCTCATAATATAAAAAGCAAAATAAAAACTCTTAATAAAACAAAACTAAAAATTTTTTGAATTTAAATACAAATTAAGCATGAAAATCTAAATAACAATTTCGTTTACTAGTAAGACACAAAAGAATTTTGCAACTATTGCACTTAATTTTTGTTTTCTTGTTATGGCATCGTCGACACCTGCCTTGTTTTTCAACTAAAATTGGCATGTGCTTCGCTTCTTTCAACCGGCTTTTTTTCGAAGGTAATTCTGTCATAGGTTTCCCTCTCCTACGCATTGTATTTGTTGTTTCAATATCTTCTCTTTCTGTTTCAATGCTATCACTACTCTGTGTCAATTTATCCACATTTGAGTCTATAAGATTTTTTCCTAATTCCATTTTAAACCACCGAAGCTGTTGAATGTTTTTGACGGAAACATTTTTACTTACTTGATCATTTTTATATTGTACCCATGAATTAGATACCGCTAAATCCAACATGTGAGCAAAGAATCTCTGAGTCCACTTTTTTGTTTTATATCTATACGGACAAACCGACAGTAGTTTATCCACTAAATCCGCACCACCCATATAACTGTTGTACTCGCGAACAACCCTAGGTTTTTCTACAGTCACGTAGCACCTATCTCGTTTACACCATTTTTGACAATAATCTACATTATCCTTTGCCTCCACAGTAGATAACATGATGACGGGCTTATTGACGAACCATTTAGTAACAACTAATTGGTCATCTTCCCTGACAATTACATAGGAGCTTCCTCTGCCTTCTGTTTTAAGTTCCTTATCAGCCTTAATTACACTCCTTGCAGTTCTAGGTTATGCGATTTTTCATTAACGTACCCGTGCATTTTATACCACGTTTATTTAGCTCATCTGCTAGTTTTTCTGACGTGAAATATTCGTCGAAATATAACGTTTTATGTCCTGGAACTAAATTATCTGCTAATGTCAAAACAGCTTTTCCTCCCGTTCCGAGAAAAGTGTTTTCATAATCTGTATAAGAAGTAGTACCTTGATAGACATTTAAATTGGCTAGAACAAACACTTTGAGGCCGACTGGATTTGGTTTACCAGGACAATATTGCTTGATACCACAATCACCTGTAAAAGGTATAATCATTTCATCCACTGACATATGGTCACTCTTTTTTTGTGATATACACCCTTTTCGTATTTTGTCTATTAATGGCCGAACTCTCCATAGCTTGTCCTTATCTCTAGTTAACTGGGTGACATCGCTGTCAAACACGAATTTTATGGAGTTTCTTATTCGAGTAAAACGATTCCGTGCCATATGGTCCGCAACCATAGCGACTCGCCATCTTTTTTCCCAGTACATCCTAATAGAGGGAAAATTTAAGGTTGCCATTATGAAGGTAATACCAATATAAATATAAAACTCTTCTTTACTGATATTTAAGCTACGCTCACCATTCAGAACAGACGACTGATTAGTTTTTTCAACAATTAGATTTACTAGTTCATCATCTACATATTGTTGAAAATAAGACAATGGGTTATCGGAATTTTCTGATGAGAATTCCAGATAAGAAGGTTCTAATAAATGTAGTTCTTTGGAAATAAATTTTTTCTCAACCCACATGGTAGACTTAGAACTTCCTTGTAGTGGATCTACTTGTGACCAATTTTTCACGTTCGCTTTTTCCCGCTGGAGTGGAGGAGCTGGAGAGTAGAGAGTTCCACGAGTAAACTTTCTGTCTGAACCACTCTCACGATTGCTTGTAGATACAATGGACTCGTTACTTTCAGAGTCACTTCCGCTATCTGATACACTTGAGAACCGTACTGTTGAGAGTAAGAATGATGGATCATCATTATCTTCATTATCTGGAAGAAAATCTTCAACATCAGAATTATTAGACGTATAATCGATATCGGTTTCTTGTAATGCTAAAAAAATTAAATATTTTAAAATCAGCTATCTTTCAGTGTCAACATACTTAAAAATAAAGTTTACTTAAATAAATACGACCCGCTGTGTTTTTAAAATCACAAATTAAATTATGACAATATTTAGAAGTATGACCCATTGCGAATAAAAAATCACAAATGGTCGTAAGTTCAATTTTTCTTTTCATGTTACGGTAATGACTTTTATATTTAGTTCTATATAAATAACATTGGGCCTTACGAGGATAATTTTTTTCACACTCATGTTTTGGTATTTTTTCGCTGTATGAACGAACAGAAATTCTTTATCGATTTTATAAAGACAATTTCGCCTGTCTCAGTACAAAACTTATATAGTGTAATCCTTGCAAGCCCTGCGGAGTTACGACAAATACACGTAGCTAAAGCAATTTCACGGATTGCTCGCAAATTGTATAAGTTACATACGAATAACAGTTTTAACAACTGACAACTAATTCCTTTTATTGAATTATAAAATGCACTCCCGCGTACGCTTACAAGCTACGCCAGGACTGAAAAGTACAATGACCAATCCATTTAATGGCGTAATGATTATACCACAATCTACCAGAAGCTAAATTTTTTAGCATTTCCCATATTTCTAACAACATCCACGGGACGAATTGGAATCATGGATCTTCTTACAACGTCATCCCTCAGCCAGTAAAAGTAATGCTTAAAACAAAAGGAAGAAGGAAGAAGTTCAAAAAAAATATCAAAACATATACAAAATGTTTTGTATTCAGGTCCATAATGAGGTTAATGTTTATGTTTAATATTTGAAAATGATAATCGTATTATTGTGCTCTTGTAAAATGAGGATACAAATGTCGCAATTTTATGCTTGGTTATTATCTATACTAACGTTAAAGACTCGCCGCCCGCGGTGCAATAAAATGGCGAAACAGGACGAAGAGATCATCATCATAATTGCACCGCGGGCAGTATTTAATATTGGTTTAGTTATAACATCTTCAAGTTACAAACAATGTATAGTTTCAGCTCCAAAAGATATTCAGGAACAACATTATTTTTATCTTACTTAAACTCTATTATTCTTAAAATATACGCAAGATAGAAGTTAAATTACTTAAACTATAATAAAATAGTATGGTATATCACAAGATTTAAATTCTTAGAAGTTAGTATAATTTACCTAACATACACGGTTTTCTTAAATTGTTACATAAAGTGGAATTCTAATTCTTTTTATGTTTTTGTTATAGAATAAGTTTAAGAAACGAGCACACTTGCGCCCTCCTTTCTGCCAAGGAGGGTCGCGTCCGTATACGGCTTAGATATCTCTAGTTAGACCGTTAAGCCAGTCCCTAAAAGGCGGTGTTTAGTGGGTAAAAGTGTCCACATAACCACGCAGCCGGCTGCGTGGTATGCTATGAGCATTCCCCACCTCCCTCCCCCGCTTTCCGGAGGGTTGCCCATATTTGCTTCGGGCGCAAAAAAAAACGAGCACACAGTCCACATGATGGTAAGTAGATTCTGTCGCCCGTATTCTGTGAGTTGTATTAAGTTCTTTTAATATTCACTGTAAGTATTTATGTCTAATCTGTGAAAATCACAAACCCAATATAACATTATTACATTACGCAATACACTGTAAGGAAAAGACTTAAGTTTGTTAAATTAATACAACATTAAAATAAAGACTTAGAAATATACCATCACAAATTATAATTAGCTTTCTTCCTTTAAATCACCACCAAGATTCTAAAATATATCATTTTTTTAATAAGTAAAACGGATTAATAATAATACAAAATTATCACAAATAAATTAACAATAATTAGAAGCGTGATTATGCATGTTCCTGGTGAAGACGATTTTGTCGCCGAAGGTGTTGACGCGTGCTATGCAAGCCGCCTTGTTACACTTCCATGAGATCCTTGCGCCGTTCTGATAGTTTCTCGAGAACTTCATACCCTTGTAAACCAGCATAGTGGTACCTTTTGATGTGTGGACGAATGTCGCAACTGTAATTTACATACAGTCATTGACGTAATACGAATAACAAAATCGTAAAAAATTACTTAATTAAATTAAAAATTAATGACGAATTCATTAAATTGAAAATACATTATTAAAAAAAAAAGAATTTCTTCTTTTTTGTGTTATGTTTTGTGTAATATTGATGTTGTAAAATTAATAAATTCTAAAAATTGAAGAGAAAAGAAAGTTTATTTGTTACAACTTTTACTTTCTTTTTAAATTTTTTTGTTAATTCTAACTTTTTTTTATAATTTTGAAGTTTGTTACCAATTCGTTCGTTTCACAACATTCCACCTGGTACTAAATGTCATCATTTAAACGTATACTCAACTAGTGTTTAGGCTTGAAACTATGAGAAATGCAGGTCTTTTTTATAACATAAAGAATGACAAATTACAAAATGAGGCTGTGGTCAGTGGAATGTTACAAGCTGATGGCAAATTACCACTGCAGCATATCACACCTTCATTTCGAAACCGTTACAAAACAAAAAAACTAAATTTTACAGGACACAATTTGACAAAAAAACTCTAAAAAAGTAATGAACACATTATGAAATATTTCTGAATTTGTAAATTATTGGTTTCTTTTTAAGTTTCAATTTTTAAATGAATTTTTATAATCTAATTTAATAACACTTTTGCATAATTATTTTTTAATTAGATTGAATTAATCGAAGTTATATAAAAACAAGGTTACTATATTAAAAATCTAATTCTAGCTATTATATGAACTGTTAAAAAATATTTCATAAGTATTTTAGGCACAAGTCAATTAAAACATAATAATTCAAATCAATAATTATTAAAAAAATAACTTAAAATTGCACTTTTATGACAATTAAACCAACCAAGTGACAGGTGACAACTGGTATAGTAACGGTTTCGTCTTTATCTATGTTTTAAATTTCAGTTTAATAACGTTTTAATTTGACACCATCTACCAAAATATCGGGAAGTAAATAGATCTGTCAAATTCATTCTGTAGATTTTGCCGATTTAAGTAAGATGACGTTATTATCTCAATTTCGTGAAAATTTTTAGTTAACAGTTTCGAAATGAAGGTGCGATATGTACTTAAACAAAGAAGAACAGAGGCGTGTTGTCACCTCCGCGGACTAATATGGAGTGTCTCACTCTCACAGCTTGCAGTTATAATATATACTACTATTATTCTTCTAACCGGAACACAGTAGTGGTTCGGTGTAGCATGGCAGCAGCTATTACAGGTAATGTGGTAGTAGTGTGTTACCAACCCCGACAGACTCAATGGCAGAAAGGTGAAAAGAGTAAAGGACTTTTTATTTAAACAGGTATTATTGAATTTTATAATTAGGGAATTTAAAGAAAAATTTTAACAATTCTCAAAATGTATCGTCTTATAGAAAGTAATAGATTACAGTATAATGTACAGTAGAAAAGTGTGATTTGCAAGATGATGTTACGACCAGGATTTTCAGGATTAAGAAAGTAAAGCTTCAATGGTTATACTTATATATAGAGTAAATATAATACTACGTTACACAAACGTTAAACGTCAAAACGAAGCCCACCACGGTTCCCGCCACAATTAAGTAATCGCACTACAGCTCAATAATAGTCGATCGGGATATTAAAATATACAGTAATATATAAATAACGGGTAAATAACGGGACCACATTATTTGGAAATGTTTTACTTTCTACGCAAAATATTTACGAACATAGGATTACATACTATAATTATACCTAATTTAAATTGCTTTTTCGAACAGATTTTTACAAACAAAATACGTAATTAATTTTTTATAAACAATTTATAGTTTTATTATGTTTTGATGCCATTATTTGACCAAATATTAATAGTAATGAATATCTGCGAAATGATAAACATGAATATGCGATTTCATGGCAAAGCAACTCGCTTAAATCCATCTTGCATTCGGCACAGTATCGAAGACGCTACTCGTATTATCAAGACATGATCCTTTTGTGAGCAATTTATGTTTCTTATATTATAAAATTGATGCCATACTGTTCTCCCCTCTTCTATTATGGGAAACATATATGGCCGATAATGGACCGCCGTAGTCTGAGCATAATTTATTCCTCAATGATTATGATTGTCTTCATGGCGCACAATGCAGTTATCTACGGTAGTGACACGAGCGCGACAACCTCGTGGCTGTCGTGTACAGCGCCAGTTCACCTTTGGGCCGAAGGACGAACTCTCGCAGAAGCGGTATCCTCCTAAACGCAGCTGAGGTTTTCCTACCCTTGAAGTAACGAATTGAGGTACATCTGAAAAAAATAAAGTCAATGCCTCAATTTTGTATTTTTTTTCTTGTGTTCCCATACGGCAGTAGTCATGATTACAGAAGTTTTAATATCAAATCCGAAATACATATGTTTCTAGCCCCCCAACTAGTAATAAATTTAGTGGAATACTAAAAATTGGATGAATCTAACTTCAGAGATTTTATCGCGTTTAATCCTAATTTAGTTTTAATTCTCGATCAAAAATATCAACAATCAAAAAAAATTACGAAGACGTTACATTTCCGAGTAAACTTATAACAGATTGAGAACGTGTATAAGCGGCCATCAACCAACTTCTCCAGGTGCCAACCTCACCTGTACACGGCGGTACAGTTTGTACACACACGGTACAATTTGTTTACTGACAAAGAAAGCTCCCGTGACCGGTAAATGCTGATAAATATTCTTTTCAAAATGTTAAAATCCAAAGCCCACACACTTACAATGAGAAGCAGCTGCCTAGTGCTCTCCCACCCATCTTGTGCTCTCCCACGCATCGTGTGCTCTCCCACGCACCTTGTGCGTATGGGATAGTTTTTTAAAGTTGCATTAGCTCATCCTTAGACCTATTAGCAGTGGATTTAGGGGTTTTTAAAAAAATATTTACAATATCACTATTTATGTGATCGATAAATCTTACAGTATAGATATTCCTAACAACATCACAGTTCAAGGTTAAGATAAATGCCTTACAGATTATAAGCATATTGTTTTTTCTGAACCTTTAAGCCCAAAGACAGTGTACCTATACACTTTTACCTGATGTTAGAATTAGGTAAGGGGATGATGTAAGCCGAGATGATTGAAGGCTATGGTATGCTGTGAGCAAGTAGGTTACCTTTTTTTACCCTGACGGACAGTTAGGCAGAAAACGACTCGATCACAAACTGCAATTTGCATTTACACCATGTAAAGTTTAATTTAACTCAACAAAGTTAATTTCAATGCTTAGCTTTAAATAAAAGAAGAAAAAGATTTGTGAATCCGTTATTTATAACATAATATGATGGTTTGAAATAAATTACTTAACAAAAATATAAATATAAAGAAACACATGTATTAATTAAGTAATTTTATTATGTTTCACTTTAAACTAAATGGTTATTGTACGTGAGGTAACTAAAAGGTTTATAATTGTTATAAAACCAGGGGCGACAAAATTGTTGAAATTTTATGGAAGATAACGTTGGGTGAATTCATTAGCTTCATGGTTGTGTTTATTTTTAACTCCAACAATTTTCCCTTTGAACGTAAAGACACGAGCAATGCACGCTATCTTATTACATTTCCATGAAATTCTGTCTCCATTTTGATAATTTTTATACAATCTCATACCATCATGGATCAAAACCAAATTTCCTTTTGGAGTTATTAAGAAATTCGCCTCTGTAAATAAAAGCACACACCACATGAATGATAACAGGTACATTTAAATTTTGTAAGATTATTTTTTAAGTGCCTAAAAACAAATACGATCTGCAACAAAGTTATCTTTCTGTTGCAGATCGTATCTCTCTTATCTGCGTTTATCCTCGATAAAAACTAAGATGAAACTTCTTCTTTTGTCAGGAAAAGGGGTGTTATTTATGTAGATACATTGTAGGTAAATATTTTGTCGAAACCTATTTACCTTATCCTTAATGACCTACCACGTAGCTTGGCCTTTACATTTAAGGGGTTAAAATGTCTCAGAATTTTACATTTTTTTGCAAGCAGTGAAATATTTTTTAATATTATGACCGTTTCCCTTCATCGTCGAAATTTGGTAAATCATCACTTAATTTACCGCGTACTCGAACTAACAATTACGTTAGGTTTGAACCCTAGTTTCTCGCGTAATGTAAATTTTACGACAAGTGCTTAGCCCTTGAGATACCACTGTTTACGGCTCGTAGTATGTTATGGAAAACACTAAATGTTGAATAATAAAATTTAATAGTATACTACAAAAACTATATTATACTTCAAAAACCGCATAAGAATAAAGGCTTAATTTTCTTTAAACGCCTAGTACCTAGTATTATGAAGAAATGCAACGGAACGCTTTTAGTTCCATAAATTTATTTAATAGATTTTTTATGCTAAGTGATCAAAGCTTAAGGTTTTTTTATGGCAATACCGTCAACTTCCTGAGCCTGGCCTACTACTACAAATTTCCTGACAGAAAATTATGCGATTTTGGCCCGACCCCGGTTCCCAAGTTCGAACACCAGGACCTCATCATCAGCAATCGCGTTTATGATCACTGGACCAACGAGGCAGTTTGAGTCAGGAAAATGAGATTATCAATCACAAATTCTCATATTTATTGTTTGTTTAGAAACAATGAATCACACAATTTAAACGAAACGGCTCGAATCATCAATGACCGAGTTCTCTCTGATCGGATTGTTTCACTGACGCTGCGAAGAGTTGTTGCATCTATTTAATTTTTTATTGCATTTATACGGTTAGTGTTTTGAGAAATTATTCGGATTATTTCCAGCCGCTAAATTTCAACAAAGCACATCGCGACAAAACTTACGTTACCATCTACATCATCTGAATTCGTGGCGGTCCACTACTGTGCATTTTACTAGGAGTTTTCTTCCTCCCACTTCTTCGTCCTTAACATGTTTTATGCTGACGGGAATGTGAAACACAATTGGTGTCACATCTATTCTATGATGAAAATTCAAATAAAACAAGTACATCTAATATCTGTTTAGGTTTTAGCAAAGTTATATTGAATCTCTTTTATTTATGTACTTACTTTACGTATTATTTCGGTACATAGCTTACGTTTTATAAAATCGCCCCACAGGAAAGTGACTATTTTGCTGCTCACGTTTAAACATTTATATCCAAATAAATTATTTGCTGACCGCGTTGCATTTTAGTGCTAAAATAGGAGCCAATTAGTTCTTTATTCCAGATTTATAACAAATCAGAAATATTTAAAAAAAAAGGAGCTATAATTTGAGCACACCAAAATTACTGCACCTTAATAAGAACTAGCCAAATATCTACCTTCTCTGTAATGGAAACATCGTTTCAATGTGTATGCTCGTATCTCGTCCCAACAAATTCATTAGCGACAGTGGTGGCAGTGGCCGGGCAGCCGCGTTTCCGACATCGCCACTTCACGCGATCTCCAGTAGTATAGTCACGACGGAAGCTGTACTGTCCAATGGTCAGACACGGCTTGCCTACTCTGGTCAACTCATACCGCACAACTACAACAAAATATTTGTAAGAAAACTTTTACTAACAATTTTAACGAATTGCTTTGAATTAACTTCGACTATCGGGCCGTCTTTCTGTTATAACTATTCTGGCACTTCCTGATCATGTGAATATTTCTTTTCATTCCTTATCATGTGAATAATTAAAGCTATAATTGAACCGAAAGGATACATAATTTCTTACGTATCTCAATAAAAAGGTTAATTACGTATTATTAGTCAGTGCTTTCTTACTATCCCATCTGGTAAGTGGATATTTTTCTTACTATCCCATCTGGTAAGTGGATATTTTTCTTACTATCCCATCTGGTAAGTGGATATTTTTCTTACTATCCCATCTGTAGTGGATATTTTTCGATATTGATTCAATTTAACACAAATTCAGGAGTACGCTTAAAATATGTATATCTCTCAGATAGGTGCAAGCTTTTACATAAAGTAAAATAACAGCAGAAAGTCAAAAAAAATATTAAGCCTCGCTGCAGCGTATTAAACTACAATATAAATGAGAACGCTCCATCAAAGCAGAATCACGTTTGCACAGAATACCAACGTGCAGAGTAGCAACAGAATGATATGGTTTCGTATGGTGTGCAATGAGAACCAGAAACCGCATTTTACTTCAGAGGTAGTTCGTTTTGGTCCATTTTAGCTTCCAGCAGATCCACTTCATTGATGATGGATATTATTATCTACAGGTCACAACATCTACTTTTTTTACTATTCCAGGCTAGCGCTTAATTACTATCCCATCTGATGGTAATTAGTGATGCAGCCAAAGTTGATGAAACGCACTAACACCTATTCACTCTTGCCTTAAAGTCACCCACTTGTAATCGGATGGAAATACAGATGCGTGCAACTTTTAACCACTTACTACGATGCCTAATGTATACTAGTTTGTAACCCTTGCTAGCCCAGTAAATAAATTAATAGCATACAATAGGTATCTTCCCATCGATCTTAAAATATCGTCTATCGTAACTTTACCACTTTCGATGTTTCTAATCTACTTAGTACCTACTTCAGGCCGTAAGTAAATTGTATTAAATAAGTCGTCATTGAAGTAAAAAAAACTTTTCACTTTAAGCAGAGTGTAATTCATAATATACTGCGTTCTATATAAAACAATAAAGTAAATATGTACAAACAATATTAAAAATAACATCTATATGTAGAAGATTCAGCTTAAGTAACAAATATAATAAGGCTCATAATTTATTCAAAATATCACGGAATTACGTATCGTGTTGAAATATCACCGAAAGCTATGCCTATACTTAATTAGTGCCACTCCCTCAGTATTTACAAGGATAGATATTCAGAGATCAATAAACAAGTTAACTTTTAGAAACAGGCTCCTTCCAAAATCGTATAAATCTATGCTTAACTATAACGATTCGTATACTTTAGTGATATTTAGAGCTATGGATCTTTTTTAGCATCAGATGTGGGTAGGCGATGCCATAGATCTGTTTTTGGCATAATTCTAGGAAAGTTAAGCGCGTGTAAAGCAAGGGAGGCGGCACGAGGTGAGATGATAGGCGATGGGAGTATTGGAAGAGAGTTACTCGCAGGTCGTAGTTGGACGAAAGCTCCATTGCCGCAACGCGCGTGCGACGGTGGAGCGTGATTGTGCTCATCTCCCGACGCCACCAACTTCCCAGCTATCACTCGGACCCTCGCTCTACAGCCCATATGCTTCGAGGAACAATAGAAGAATCGTCCTCCAACTTGTGAATACGTGAATCCACGTAACACTAAGATATATTTCCCCTTCTCCGTCGGAATGAATTGTACACCTGTAACCCCGAATTGCATTAATATTATATTCCAAACTAACAATACTAAAAATCTCTATAGATTTATGGTGTTTTATGACACACTTAAACATATAGAAATTATCAATAAAAGTAACCAAAATTTAATATTTTCAAAAAGATATTTTACCAGAGTTTAAGGCTCATGTAGCCCAAAATAACAAAATTGAAGTATGTCGGAGGATAAATCTAACAAACAAAAAGATTCAGACTGAGGAATATATTTAATTGTAATAAAAAATAAACCAGAAAAACTACAAAAGTAAGGCTCTATAGAAACTTAACAAAAATAAACCTATTCATACTGATTTTGTGATACATGAAATAATTATACAACAGTCAATTGAACTGCACTCTAACCTCAATTACCGTCATCTAATTCCTTACTTACATCACGATGATATCAGAATCGAACCAAGTTTTTTTTAAATCCTTAAACAGTTCATAGTTTAACGTAGGAGCCATTCCTGAAGACGTATTTAGGCGGAGGGTGTATGTGAGTCGTGTTTATTTTAAGGATCTTGCCATCGGGATGATTACGAACACGTGCGGTACAACCTTGAGCCTTGGAGGAGCAAAGCCAGTGATTGCTGTAATTAATTTGGGAGTACGTATACCCGTCAATCATAAGAAGAAACTTCTTCCCGCTTCGAGTTGGTATCATTATCACTTCACTGTCTGCAATAAATATTTACATTAAAAATTAGATACTGTTAATCAGGATAAAATATTAGACAAAATCATGCTTCCAAATGTAAACAGTCCAATTAGCTCCTATAAAAATAAATATAAATTAGGTAGTTAGTTTATAAATAAGTTTAATAATAAGTAAGTTTATAAAATTGAGTATGTTTGCTCTTATTTAATATAAATCAAAAATCCTTTTGGCTTCAATTTTATTAAGAAAAGACAAAATAATATTGCTTTCTATGACTTTTTTATATTATAAAGTGTATATTATATATTGGGTTTACATAGTTTAATTTTAGTTTTTATTACATACATTATCTTAAAGGTTTGAAAAATTACCTTAAGACATCCAGTACCTAATGAGCATAAAACTGACTTTATTATTTACACTTTAAAATAAGAACCATCTTTAATTATGTACTTAGGCGGAGGATGTGTATGTTCAGTATTGACCCGGATAACGGTCCCGTCATAAATCCGCTGAACCCTGGCAGTACAACCCTGAGCTTTGGAGGAGCACAGCCAATGTTGACCGTAATGTACCCGAGAATATGTATACCCGTTCAGCATTAGAAGAAATTTCTTCCCACTTCTAGTCGGTATCATGACGACTTCGTCACCTACACATAAATTTAGAAAATGTCAATAATTTGCACTCAAAAAAAACTGTATTAACACTAAAAATAAAAAAATAAAAATAACTTCGCAACCTTCCGCTAAATAAATACAATGATGTGTCTTACGGATTGAAGAGCACCTCCCGCCCTCCCTCAATTGCATGCACTAACTCCGTCACCACTAGTCCCGGCACCACTACTTCCAACACCACTATTCCAGGTAAGACACACCATCGACGACGATGCGACACGTGTTTCGCCTCTACACGAGGCATCCTCAGGTAATGTAGACTCTACGGCGGCTGACCGCTTAGTCTTACCTGGAATAGTGGTGTTGGAAGTAGTGGTGCCGGGAGTAGTGGTGTTGGGAGTAGTGGTGCTGGGACTAGTGGTGACGGAGTTAGTGCATGCAATTGGGGGAGGGCGGGAGGTGCTCTTCAATCCAGGTAAGACACATCATTGTATTTATTTAGCGGTAGGTTGCGAAATTTTTTTGTTATAATGGATTTCCGCAAAGTAACGCCTGATTCTAATCCACTTTAAAGTGTTTAAAACATATCATACCATTTTATCTTTCAAATAATCATATATTCTTTAAATATATCATCGTTGGTACGTCTGTTAGTGATCGTGTACCTTCTGAACGACTTGATCATACTCATACAAAATAATTTATATTGATAGGTGGCCTCTAGTCAAGTTTTCAACAAACTTTATGGTTATAGATCAAAATGATTCATGTTCACAATATTTTATTATAGTTATGGTTTAATGCCACAAATTAAATCAAAAAGTTTAGACCCGATATAAGGCGATGTGTTGAATTATTATTAATAAATTTTACAATGTGGATTCGGAGCGAAATTTTGCACCTCCTACTGAAAAGGGCTGAATAACATCTGTACGGCTAACATCTAATTTTCTTTTAAAATAGTTTTAGTTTTGGTCTCAACCTTATGAACAAAAGCTAGTATTTAAACAATGCATGCCAGCTGGCGCGTTCTTGAAAAGGTGATAAAGGAAGGAAGAAAGAGTAAAAAGTAGAGATGGAAATGGTGCTTCAAGAACGAATAACTAATTATATTATTCCTAAATTGAAATTCAAGGTTAAATTTTGTTACATGTGAAACATGATATTCACCAGAATGCTGATTATTTGTTATAATTTTTTTAAAGATTAATATTTTTATTGAAATAATACTAGTTTTTACGGAATTTATCGCGTATATTTAACTTTTTAAATACCCGACGTTTCGAGAGCTTTACAGCACCCATGGTCACGGGAAGGACTGAGATGTTCAACGTCCAGATGTCATAGTTAACCGCGGTTACCATAGATTAAAATTTAACTTTTGTTCCGATCTACACAGTAACAAAAGTTAAATTTTAATCTGTGGTAACCGTGGTTAATTATGACATCTGGACGTTGAACATCTCAGTCCTTCCCGTGACTATGGGTGCTGTAAAGCTCTCGAAACATCGGGTATTTAAAAAGTTAAATATACGCGATAAATTCCGTAAAAACTAGTATTATTTCAATGTGTAGTGTTCGCGTAAATATAAGAAATCATTAATATTTTTATGTTCCCATGAGTTTCGATAGACTTTACTTGTATTTCAAAAGGTCAAACTTCTACTGAAATTAACACGTTCGGAAACTTCCGACAGACTTGACTTATATTACAATAGGACAAAGTTCCACCGAAAAGAGCATTTCACAAAATTTCAACAATCAAAAACCAAAACAAAAAATTAATCCACCCTACTAACATACGTATCTAGCATTCCGTAGTAATAGATGTATTCCGCAAAAAAAATACTACCATTGTTAAATCATTACCCTAACCGTATACTGTGAAATTAAGATTTCGTCTTTCACTACAGTCTGTATGAGGAAGCAGTCGCAGAATCTCATTTTTAGGAAATTCCCTGCGTAATCGTACTCGTAACGAGAATTCAATACAATACAATACTCTTTATTATACACAAAGGAGAGATAAAAATAACAAAAAAATTTACATATGTTGAGGGAAAAAGAAAAAAGGGTCATATATCCTACATAGTAATCTCTTCCAGACAACCCAAAAGAAGAATTAAATTAAAATAAGAAAAAAGATTAACTTTTAGGGTGCACTAAGATAAAAAAGATACCAACTTACACACTCAAAAGACAACATTCCTTAAATCAATGACTATAAATAAGAGGAGTAAACCGAAAATAACAAACAGCTCAATGAATCAAGCTTGTATTTATTGTATTGCAATTGAGTAACTGATCGCGACTAGACAACAATACGTTCACTCCATAACTTTTTTTAGTATAAATATGGACTTTCTTAATAACTTGAATACAGCAGCTTCTAGCATACTGGTAGCTATACATCATGGTCTTTATAAAACAAATATATTATGTGAATATGACCTCAATCGATGAAGTCGCTCAGAAGTTACCCGATCACTAACAGACGCACCAATGGTGGCAAAATTGTTCCTTAATTGAATTTGAAATTGAGAAGAAAGAATTGCGTTAGTAAGACGTCACTCATTTATCCTCATCAAACTTTAGTTCTACGCCAGTGCAGCCAAGTGCGGCGTTAGCTACTCTCCACTAGATTTAGTAGCAGGTGATGCGACAGGAAATAGATACAGGTGGCTGCTGTTAATATTTTGTAGCTACAGTGGACAGCCAACAACTATTTGCTTTCGTTAGATTTCATGTATCCATGTTATGAAGTGTAGAAGTGAGGAGTACCAACTCCCAAAGTAGAATAGTTGAAAAAGTGGCCATCTGTAAGCAGCAAATAACAGTTCAAAAACTTTCCACAACAGCGCTGGAGTAGCTACTGAGATGAAATGAACTTAGCAGTTGTCGACGGTTTAAGTGTGCTGCTAAACTACTCAGTAGCTCTAAAATCTAAAATAATTTTATTTAGTAAATATTACCTCGAAAAAGTCGTCTATCCCACTAATATTTTTCGGTGCGTTCTTTAAAATTTACCCCGTAGTTATAGTGGCGCCACCCTTATTTAACGGTTTTCTATGGACACTTTTTAAAACACAGTCTGTACTCCTTACCTCTACACTCCATAATCCATGTATTGAGAGATAGTCCGATCACCCAAAGAGTTGTTTATGCCACTTAAATGTTTCTATCTCGCTTTCATGTGTTTTTATTTCTTGGTAATTACAAAACCTCTGACTTCAGTTTTAATAGTTCTAATAATCCGCAAGGTGTTCAACCATATTCTTTGCTATTCCATGTATCGAGGTATATGATCACTAAATCAATATCTTTAGTCGTACCAAGGCTTCTTAAAATCAATTACAATTCATATTGTACACGTTATATTAACATGTCATATTACAAAACATAACAATAACTCTGCAATCATACTGTGGCGGCGCTGTCGTCGCGCCGCAAGCGAAACATACCGAAGACTAAATCACGCTATCAACATTCCGAATCATAAACAGCATATATAGAACATCTCCGAAATATCACACGGAGTGTTGGCCGCTCCCCGGACAGAACACCTTGCCCGGCGGAGATCTCCCCTTTTCCTTCTACGGCCAGAGTGGTGACGCCGACGTGATCTGAACACGCAACCAACAACCTTCGGAAGCTACAACTTCAAGCCTTCGGTATTTCCTCAGACACTGTCTTCTGCCCTCTTATCCTCAAGAACTCCTACCATTCACTACTGAGAATCGTCTTCTGCAGCCTTCAGTTCCTGCAAACCAGTCCAACTTGTCTTCGTCTCGACTCACCGCAGATAAGGCAGACTTCTGGCACTTGCTCCGGCACATCGTTCTCACCGGCATCACTTGTCAGTGCGTAGTACGGCATGCATTACACATCGGCAAATTATTCGCACCGGTGTCACTTGCCCTTACGCACACAGCATGCATTCCCCACCGGCATTAAAGGACACACCGGCAGTCGGACTGCACTATCTACCTCTGGTCTGAGCAGGGGGGTGATGTGGCGGCGCTGTCGTCGCGCCGCAAGCGAAACATACCGAAGCCTAAATCACGCTATCAACATTCCGAATCGTAAACAGCATATATAGAACATCTCCGAACTATTACACGGAGTGTTAGCCGCTCCCCGGGCATAACACCTTGCCCGGTGGGAGATCTCCCCTTTTTCTTCCACGGCCACAATACAAAAATTCGTTGCTGACGCCGCAAAGGGGCAAACTGCTATTTTTTTTTAATTAGAACTGGACAATCATTTATTATTCTCCGATTACTATACTCCGATTACTAGCTTTTTTCCATCAGAAAATTAATCGTATTTGTAGTTTTACAACAAATCTAATATTTTTAATTTTCTGATGAAAAAAGCTAGTAATCGGGCAAAAGTAAATGTTTTCGTGCTCTCTTGCAATTTTTTTAAATATTGTGGTTTGCCCCTTTGTGGCGTCAGCGACGAATTATGCCTTTTATTTGCAACAACCGTTTACTTCTTGACGTTTGGTGAAATAAAATGAACTATTTATGTAAAGATAAACAAACAGCTTAGCTAAACATATATATTTGAATAAAAAATTATACCCGTAATTTGACGTTGAAGTTCACAATGCTTCATATTATGTTAAAAACACTGGTAACGGCTTGACCAATAAATTATAAATATGAATTTCATCAGCGGTATATATATTTATATATTATGTGCCGATGATGAAATATATAATTATATATTTAAGCATAATCATATTCCCGAAAGAAAATTGAGCAATTTCAAAAATTAATGTAATAGGACTAATGATGATGATGATGATTATTATAAAGTTAAAAAATACATAGCATTTTAGATCGCTCATTAGCCTGATTTTTTTTAAATATCTTTTTAATATAATAGTAGAAAACTTTCATAATTTTTAGGCTTTGTCTTCTTAAATATTTACATAATCCTCCAACCTCGACATTCGAACAAGATACAGAATATCAAGGCTCTGCGATACTTTTTTTTTAAAAACCTATGTTTTTTTTTGGTAATGGATTCGTACGGTTATCCTCTTGCCAGCGTCAAGTAATAAGAAATATCCTTTAAAATATTTGACGCGTCACAATACGAAGCTTTCGAAAGATTTTGAGGGCAGCTTGATTCAGTAGACAATCGATGACGATAGTATCTCAAGAAAATATATTAAATCCACTTCTTTCCATTCCATTATTCAAACGATAAAACAGAAACAAAAAAAAAATCCCTGCCCTCAAAATTCTTCCTAAGCTCTCGTACTTAAATACTTATATTAATTTTAATTATTAAGCATGGAAGCACTGATTAAGTCACATCTCTTATACAATTTAATTTTAAAACAAAACCACTATGAAATGATTACTTATTTCTTAATTTTTAAGTAGGTACTAAGATTTTTTCTATAATATGTGATAGTAAGTTGCAGGAATACAATATCATAAGAATACGGAATACATATAAAACAAGAATTTTCTAATGTAATAATTCTTGAATTGTGTTAAAAAAAATTCAAATGATTTCTCCGATGTTCAGTTATAACTAATATTGTCATAATATATAAATAAATATATACTTTTTATATATATATATATATATATATATATGACACACGGCTGAACACACAGGCCTCATCTCATTTCTGAGAAGGATATATTTGAAATATATTTAAATTTCTCAGACATGCAGTTTTTCTAACGCTCTCCCTAACCGCCGAGCACACACAGTTTGTAACTAATTATCTATTTGCAGTGGAAACGAAGCCCATCTTTAGTGTATCTTCAGGTTTGTTTATACCCTGGATCCTAGATGAATTATCTTACTTATATTATTCAAGGCTTTACCAAAGGTGGTGCTAGTTTACTTTGATCTTTCAAAACTTACATTGAGTTTATATTACAAGAATAATAGTATTAAGCTAGTCTTTCACTTTTTAATAAAGAAATAAATGCCATCAAGACGATTTTAGTTAAAATTTCGCTAAGCCTATAAATTGAATTGGGTTCTGTAAGGTCTTTTATCTGCAAAGGAGTGCGTCCAGGTAGGTTCCATTAAATGAACTGTTTCTGGCGCCAAGTGGCGGGATATTTTATTATGTTTCGATTTAAATAAATGGACTTCGTGGCTATTATAGACACAGACTGTGCAACATTCCATCTTAATACTTTCCAAACGTTCTTTTATAGTTGATTGTAGTTGCATATAATGTAGACTATAACAAGCGTTTACCGTCATGTATCTGTCAGCTCTTTGTCGACGTAATGTTACAAAAACAAAATAAGTTATATCAACAAGACGGAACCCGACCATAGTAATCTATGGTTTATACTATTAAACCTCCTTCTGGAGCAGTAGGTAAAAAACTAAGCAAATTTTTTGTTATAAAACTAAAAGTAATGCATGTAGTAAAACATTCGTTCTTACTGAGGAGCTGCTCGTAATATTCTTTATGACGATGCGTGGTCAACCCTGCGGACAAGCAATACCTCACAGCGTGTCGTAACTAATACGTATATTTTTATGCATAAATATTTTTAAAAACCCTAATTTAACTACTGCATAATCTGTATAAGAAATATCTTTTACATTGGCAAGCATAATACGGCAGCAAAACGCTACAACGTACAGCCTACGCATTTATCTCGTTGGTATTGACTAGAGAACATCATAATCACAACATCAACATCACAGTCAATCATTGGAGCAGTTATGCAACGCCATGTTCAAATCATAAAACGAAAATAATCGATTACGGGGCCGCCGCAACTCCCCAATGTCTGAAAACAATAAACTTCTATTAAGTAAACCAAAAATGTAGTGAAATACAAAGAGACATAAATTGTACTCAACTACGGTACGAGTATTAATATAATATCACAATTATTTAAGTCGATGTCATTGCTTCCATTGCGACTTTTCTTACAATTTTTATTTTATTTATTTATAATACATTCAGAGAGCTGCGAGTTCATTTATTTACTAAGGTAATTGCATCTAATAAGGGCCGGGTTTTTGGAAATCCTTATAAATCAATTTAGGGAAGTGTGTTAATTTGTAAGACATCATGATCAAGTAAATTGTTTTTATTTGAAGAGAAAATATTGTACAAAAACAAAGCACCAATGGCCAATTACTTACAAAAAAAGTTCTTTAAAAGCTTGTCTATGGTCCTTATTGGGTACTACGGCTCTAAATAAGGTCCATAATTGAACTGCAAGGTTTTAGGCCTTATATACCAGAAAAATTACATCTTTAGAAACCAGTGGCTTTAAACTACTATTAAGTTCGTAGCTTTCGAATAATGAAACGGAAATTTATATAAATTAGTGTCGTGGCCCTTATAAAGTCTTAGGAAATGTATACGAGTTATAATTAATCTATTTTCTAGTTATAATTGAAACAAATTGTAGTTTTATGCTGATTTTTATTTACTCTAGTAAAGAAAATCACAAAATGTTACTAATCAGTCATTTATTCAGTCTTAGTCATTGGACCTTATTAGGTATTACACTTCTGTAATCATAGTCTGGACCTTATTAAGTGTTTGAAAATAACAAACATGGCAACCATTGCAGCTAAAGATTAAAAGATAAATATGCACATATATTCACAGTGTGTATTTACTTATCCTTATTATATATATATTTTATATATTTATATTTATATGCTTATTTAATTTCTGAGCCCTCGCAGGGTTCATGAATTGTGCTTTACGTTGAGATATGTCTTTATTTCGTGCGAGTAAATTGTTAAGCCATTTCTTGCCAGCAGTCAATTTTTTGTCACTAAAGGGATTTTGTATATTATTTCTTTCACAAAATAAGTAAGCTTGTTTACGTATTATTTTTGGTGTCAAAGGCATGCCTATACTTGAAAACTTCTTAATTCTCTCTACTAATTCCTTTTCCTGTGTGTCGGTAAAAACAGCTTTTCTTCCCATCCTCTTCACCACGCTTCCAGATTTTATGTGATTTTTCAACGTTCGCCGTGGTATATTGTATTTTAAAGCTGCTGCACGCTCAGACATTTGGTTGTTTTTTATATCATCTAGAGCATTCTGAAGATCAGTTTGAGACCATCCTGAGCCCCGTTTTCTTTTTTGCGAAGGTTCCATTTTTGTCTTTACTGGAATCAATATACTTATATTAATATATGAACAATACCTATGTCAAAAGATACTGTTGATTTGCGTAAATAAAATCTTATAAAATTACGTAAAAACGAATGGGAATTTAAGTAACTGATCATTTCTGAAAGTGTCAAAATAAAAAGCGTGTTGTTATTAAAGTTATATTAGAATTAAAGGTACAAAAAAATAAAAAAATAAATTAAAACACACACACACACACAAAATATATATATATATATATATATATATATATATATATATATATATATATATATATATATATATATATATATATCGATCTTCTTTTATTCAGTGAATATTATTTTATTTTTGTCATTATATTTATTATTTTATTTTATTATTATATTTATAACAAAAACAAAAATACAGAACCATAATATACTGCAATCGTATGTAAAATATTATTCAAATTACATGACGTTACAATTTTACCGCACTGCTTCGTAAGTGTTATTCAGCATGCTATGAAACTCTGTTATTGGCTAAGTGTATATAGTAATACATATTTTTAAGTATGTTTGTTAAAAATATGTCATTGAGTTTCCTAATAACATAAAAAAATGTCTATTTTAAAACTTCGTACCGCTAATAAGGTCCGGCCCTTCTTTGGAGACAACAAGTGGACCTTGTTAGGCACTTAGATATGTACTGAGAAAACTAAAACAAAATCGAGATAAAAAAGCAATAATTTTGATAACTTACCCTGTCAATCCACGTTCTGAAAGTATTTTACACTACTATTGCAGAATTATTACAAAACGACCGGGTTTTATAACTAAAACAACGCAAAATTGAGTCACAATATTTTATAAATTGAGTCACGTCGACCGCCCCTGGGGTTAAACACAGAGCCACTGACAAAATGGTCACCGCGAAAACAATAAACGTCGGTGCGCTTTTGTGATTGGTTACTGGGAAGGGGCCGCGTGGTATCCGTTTTGTTTTAAGTATTAAGTAGGAGAAGTTTGAAAAGATGGACCTTATTTGGAACCGGCCCTTTTTAGGCGCACCTACCTTAGTCAATAGTTGTGTCCTCATATGTATATTTACAAGCTTTGAAATAAAACAAATAAATCTATTTTAAAATTTAATAACAATAAAAAATAAAATGTGTGCAATTTTTATACTTGTAAGTCTGATAATATATGTACAACAAATTAAAAAAAGTTTTATAAATAAAGTAGTTCAATTGATTCACTTTTATATTTCGTCAGGTTTTAATTTATTTAAGGGATAACTTTGATCTCACGATCGATTGAACAATCAGCCCTAAACCAATTAATATATGAACACTCTATAAGTATACTATGGATTCCATACACGATCCAGTTTACCTTCAAGTTTACGGCGCACTTGAAGCCGCGTCCGGTAAACTTGACGGGGTATGGCTATCAGTGTGCATGCATAAAATAGTTGTGTCTATGGGCACCAGCATCCACTTATCAATTAGGTGGAATGTGTGCTCGTCGATTCTCACTCTTATTTTTATAAGAACTGCGTAATCGTATACATAATATCTATATCAAGCTTTTGTCAAATGGAATGTTAATACATGAGAGATATTTTTTTTCTGTTTTTAGTAGATTTAGAGCTGATTTTTCAATCTTCAGATAAAATTTATTCATAGAATATAATACAACATTAAAAAATTAAGAATTACAGTTGTATGAATTAAATTGTTCAATTGTTTCACAATATTCAGTCGGGTTATAAATTATTTGTTGTATAACTTTTTTCCGATGATTAAAAAATCGAACTAAAGCTATCAACTAAACATAACTGAATAAAATAACTTTAATTTTTTAAAATGAATGCCATTTTTTAAACAATTTAGGTAGGAAGGAACGTCATTAAGCCTTGCATAAAATGTAATAAATTATACTACATAATAAAGAAAATAATTATGACATAAAATTCCAACCAGACCAGACCAGACGATTAAAGTACTTAATATATGGAATGGGATGCAGATATGTAGAATTGGAATGATTCTTACAAATATTCACAAAAATACCCGAAAGTTCCTTAAAATCACTTTTACTTTAAATGAGCATAAAATGGCTCGCATTTGTTAAGAATGACACGAGGGCCTTCTTTTCGCGTTTCCATCCTACGGAGCTTTAAAGACCACCGCGCCATCAGCATACCGTATATTCCCAGAAAAAGCTCAGTGCTGAGCGACCACTGACTAAATGATGACGACTGATGAACCATGCAACGATGGGTGCAGGTGGTTAAAAAAAATCACATTTTAAAAAGGTAAGAAAGGATACAGGGTCATATGTTTCCACATCTTTCCTTTTGTGGCATGCAAAAATTTTTAAAATAAATATGTTAAAAAACAAATAAAACAAGGCCGTGCTTTGTAGGGGAGGCTATGGTTAGCAATAGACTTCCTAAACATTTGTGTCCGGGGCTGCTATGTTGATGATGACGAATTAAAGCAATGTCCATTATTCCACTGTTGTATTGCATTTACAAGATTTTTCCAACACCAGTATGGTATTCTATACCATACCATTAAATAAAGCCTTTCAAAGGTATACTGCTGGGCATAGGCCTCCTCCATAGATTGGCTTTGCCCCAGTTGCCACAAGCGTGATGCGGGTTGGCAACAGCTGTTTGTTATTTCCATTCAGATGTTATCAGCAAGATGCTGCTGCCCATCTCCTGTTTCAGTTTCCCCCTGTCGCCTCCCATGACATCAAAAACTAATACATTTCTAAGTAAATCTACTTTTCAGTAAGAATAAGATCTGGTGATTAAAGGTATGTCTCTGCTCGAAGTACATAATATATCAGTATTAGTTGTTATTAAAAAAAATGATTGGTAATAAATAATTGGTAGCATTGCTGTAGCTACTTTTATGGATTTGTCACAAATTTATGAAAATAACGTGAACTTTCAAATTTCTAATGATTGCCATAAGATATTATGTAATAAAAAAAAGTTCATATATCTTTATCCATAGATCCGTTTCTTAGAAACAAATTACTTATAATATATATATATATATATATATATATATTTAAATGTAGAATATGCTAAGTTAACCACAAGACGCTAAAGTAGTAAAAAACAGATACCAATCATTGATGTAGTTATATGACTTAATGCGAAATAAAAAAAATACGACCTTATTGATATTCGTGAATATCGCTTACTAAATTAAAGTATTCATTATATTTATATATTGCCATTGTCAGTCCCTTTCTATTCTCATTTAGTAAAATAAGACAGCGCAACTTTATGCATTTCTTAAATGGACGTTATTTTTTATGAGTAATACTAATAAATAGACTTTATGATTGATAATAACAATTAATGTGTTAAGTACCGAGACTCTTATAACAAGAAAAGCAAGTATTATTAGAACAAAAATATCACAAAGTTAAGTATTATCATAAAAACTATTCCCGAAACATTATGCTAACTGTGGTTATGAGTGCCGTAAGTCTTAACGACAACTCCATCGACCGTCGTCAAAGAAGCAGTGCACTGGTACCGCCGCTTCCGTCCGCAAACCCATCGGGTGAGGACGCCTCGAGTCCTCTCCCTTATGAAGTTCACTCCTTCGAAGATAATCATTGGATTTCCACGACAAGATACGACGTATTCAATATCTGTAAATTTCATCAGAGACGGATCTAAGTGCTTTAGGATGAAATAAAAAATGTCAATCGTATATGAAACATAATGTACACGTGTACTTGTTTAATTTATATACTGACCGACACAAAAAACGACTCACTTTGAATTTTAAGTAATTAATTGTCCTACAATTTTTTGGTATCATGTCTTATTGATAAGTGTTAGTTATTTAAGTTATTCTTTGGCAAGGAATATCAGACAACCAAACTCGTAAGCAAAATCGGGACCCATCTGTGAACAGTACCTACTTGGCTCCACTGTTCCATATCCCAATTTCACATGTTCATGTGCGAATGCAAATCTGCTGACCCGTTGTTTCCTGGTAAGCTCTGGGCCATGTGCAAGTCTTATGGCCATATCAGTTTCATTGTGGCGTCTCCGGATAGTCACTAACATCCACATCTCGAACTTCAGCAAGGCGATTCCTGACTTACAAAGCAGTCATGGCCCTGTTACGTATTGCTAGGGTAAGGAGTACTTCGGCGACCTGTTATTACCCAAAAATAAACACAAATATAATTTCAAGATTATTTATTTAAAGAAATCATAGCGAGTCGTTTTTTGTACCGGTCAGTATATTTGTAAGTAGAGTTCAATAAAAAAACTGTAGGTCTAAGTACAGACAACGCCATCTAGCGTATATTCAGTGAGGCATTTCACCACGACGAGGGGTAGCTACATGGTTTCAGAAAGTACCGTAGCATTTATACAACGATGGCGCTGATACCGTTTTCGTATTAAATATTACTTTTGAATAACCATTAGGCACTTAAGTAGTTTTCTAAAAAAATAACTAATGATATTATAATTTACACAATACGATAGAAATAAATAGGTTTCTTAACCCTTGAGGGTTACTATTAATGTAATTTGTTACAACAATTATATATTAGCCAGCGTTAGCCAAATAAATAGTTAATATTTGTAGTGAATAAATAATTTAAAACGAGTATTAGTAGTTAGAAAAATTAATGAATGCGTCACTGAATATTACGTTAAAGCATTTTCATTTACTGTTACCCTCTAAAACCTCCCATTAAGTAGACTGGTATGCATGTAAATGGAACATCAAGTAACGGATTGCTTGATGTGAATGCGCTCACACAAGAGGTGACAGCTCGCCGGCATTCTCACGGAACGATACACACATCTCTGCAATTTCTATACATTTTTTCTCCATGAAACCCACGTAATGTTATCTTTCCATTATAAAAGATTTAACGTAGGCTGTCGTTAAAATGAAAACCTGTGAATAATTGTTTACCACTTTGAATAAGCATTTGAAATATAAATGTACAATTACCGCAGATTCTACTTTGTGAAACACCTTAAAAGTAAAGTAAAAGTAAGAATCGCAAGTAGATTAATGTATTAGTAATTTTTTTTAATAAAATTGGGTGACAAACGGGCACACAGTCCACCTGATGGTAAGTGGATGCTGTCGCCTATAGACATCTTAAAATTATCAATTACCCTCAATTAACAATAAAAATGCAGATGCGTTGTCACCCTGAGGACGAAGATGGAATAACTCGTTTCCAGTAAAAAGAGCCTCCAGTTCTCTACACTCACCATGGTGTTCTGTGAGAGCGTGGTCCTACCCCGATCGAGCCGAGCCATTCGTGCTACTACCATAATAAAGCTGCATGCGTGGCTCTACCACGTATTATACGATATAAGATTTATAATTAAAGTGTTTGATAATTTGCGTTAATCAAAATCTATATTCATAATTGTTGAGACTGTCGAACTGCCATAGTGACTATGACAGCTTTTCTGAGGCAACTTATAAAACAAATTAAAAAAAATTGTGCAAACGACTTCAATATAAATAAAATGAGAACATCATCACTGTATTCGAAGTCAATTAAATACGCTTAATTAAGTATAACTCAAAAACTACCGGTCAGATCTTGATCAAATTTATATGGGAGCACCATATAAATTTGATCAAGATCTGATCTGATGAACATGAGAAGCACCAGCTATCAAATAAAAAATCATCAAAATCGGTTCACCTAGAAAAAAGTTCTGAGGTAACACAAAAAATACAGTCGAAGAGAACCTCTTCCTTTTTTTGAAATCGGTTGAAAGAGTAATTCATCAGTTACTTTACAAAGAAAAAGCAGCATTGTGAAATTTATGATATTAATATAAAATTAAACTACTTATTAATATTTCTTTCCTTTAAAGACGACAGTACCAGACCGTTCAATATAATAAAAATAATATTTATAACGTAACTTACGTTACATTGCATTTTCATGAGTATTTAAGACAAGCTACAAGCTAACTTTAACGCTTTATAAGAAATTTACATTACGTTTTACATATTTACATTATTTTAATTATTATATTAATATCTTAAATGTAACGTGAATTTCTTATAAAACATTGAAGTTGGCTTGTCTTAAGTACTTATTAGGAATGTCGATACACGGGTAAGGCCTAAGAGAAAGTAGCTTAAGTCAACAAACAACACGGTCACCTTTTTATAACTACCCAATATTATTTAACTACGATATTATAATTTTGCTCTTCATTACATTTCAACAGCATTATTATTCTAAATTATTATCAGTTCATAACCGTCCACTACTGAACCCCCTGTTCTGTCCCATTGCAGAAAGGATTATAGTCGATGCACTCGGCAGTCGGATTCATGATCGTAGTACGAAAGGTCTCGCACGTCCCCGAAGCCAATGTCTGTTGCCGGCCTGGATATTTTACGTCTGGGGTAAATTAAATTAATATGATACCGACATCTATCTGAAGCCATAAGATCTTCCTGGCGTTTCGAATATTCGCTTTTACAGCATCCCGGTACCAAATGAAATGGTAGATTGCTTTACACCCGCACCTCACGGCTAACGGAATTTACTATTTCGAAAGAGATTGGTTTGCAAACTAGAAAATATAGCAACTTGAAGTTATCGCTTGATGCTAATTGTAACCAAGCTGTTCGAATATTTATGAAAATATTTCTATTCTACTACATATCAATTTAGATGCACTCCATCAAATTAATATAAAACACGAACGATCCGCCCCGGCTTCGCTCAGGTGATTTCTGGACCTCGACAACAGCGCCACCTACGTGGTTCAATAGTGTATTTAAACCATGTAGTTGTTGATCGAAGCCATCTAGGGACCCACTCAAACGCACATAAAAAATTTCATCGATGTTGTTTGAACCATTTTCGAGTTTTACAGTACGTTTGCACTGAGAAACATCCACGTAATGTTTTGAAACAAATCGCATAAAATAAATCACATAACATGTTTTGTTGATGGTGGCGTTCGCACTCACAAAAACTGTGTAAAATTTTTAACAGATATTCAAACTTATCTTTCAACGTGACAACATTTCTACATATTTGTTTTCATACATTTTGTTTCTGTAGTTATAAAGATATAAGATATAATAATATGTAATGTACAATAAAATGTCAAACATATTTCACAACAACATGTTCTTTGACTATGCAAACGCTTTTTGATACATTGACAGAAAACAGTGTTTAAAACATGTTTTTTGCGAATATCGCGTCAGTGCAAACTCACGGTTAGCGAGACTAACAGAGAGCAATTGATTTTTATATTTAGAGATAATATGAAAATTATGTAAATGACAACAAAACGGAAATTTGATATAAATATTATAAATGTTAAAGTAAACATCCTAACGGACAGGATGTTGGTCGTTACATCAACATTAAACTAATTTAGAAGTTAATTATGAAATGGAACAGTATAATTTAATAACAATTATAAAAGATAGTTTTAATTGTCATTAAAAATATACTATTTCATATAGTACATAAAGTTTATTACATTCGGTATTCAGTCTATCGAGCCCAAAATTACTATCCGGCCGGATACCGGATAACAAACAGTTATCCGGCCGGATACCTGATAAAAAAACACAGAATATCAAATATAGTTAAGTTACTTCATTTATGTCACTAAACAAATATAATCAGTTATCACAAAATTTTCATTTTAAAACTTACAAAATTAGTATTCGTACTGCGCTATGGCACAGAATAAATAATAGTACTACAAATTAGACTAATTTCTCTGCATTGAAAGGTAACAAGCGGTTTCGTCTGTCTTCATAAACAAGGCCAGGTTCAGAAAAAAGTACTTTCACTATACACACTGCTGCAGGGTACTGAAAGACAGATTTTGGCAAACTTTGATAAATTTGGGTATTGTGTAGTCCTGTCCTGTCCTGTCCACCAAATATAAGGGTCACGATCGCGAACAATTTGCACTGACTTTACTTTTCGCTTCTTGGCATGCATCAAACTACAATGTTCGGCAGAATATCCGGCGGCCGGATATCCGGTGATAAGACTGGCCGAATATCCGGTATCCGGCCTAACAGCAATTAGTTTCATCTCTAGTTTATAGTGTTATCGAAAATAGTTGATCGCCATTTGTTGGTGAACAACAGTATTTTACGTAAAAGGCTGTCTGAAAGTAATCGCTTTCAGACCACTAAACCTATTGTACCTTTTTGTTTTAATGTGTATTGATGTGTAATAAAGAATGTATTAATTGATTTATTAATTGAATTATATTTAAGGAAAAAGTAATTAAATCTTAAGAATATTAGCGAAACTAAATATCTAATATTTATATCTGATATTTATATCTAATATATAACTGTGAACCAATTCTTACTTTAAGTAGGAAAATTCTCTAGATTCCTTCAAGACGAGAGCTACAAATAGGTTGAGTCAATACATATCAAATACAATCCCTGAGATTTTTCTCTTCGATTTTTATAGCATCGACAAGGTAGTCTATTTATAAAACTACCGCAGCCCGACGGCGATGGTTCTTGACGGGTCGTTGGTTGAGTGGAGCTCTTCACCCACGTGCCCATAGCGTAAAATCAGTCCTATGTACAATACATAAAGCAAGAGAAGTAAAAGAGCGCGTAAAAAGCTTTTCTTCAGCAACGGGCTTTCCGGTTGCATATTGGAATAGTTTTACCACCATGTCTCTATCTTTACCTTCGCGTCCTGCTACTGAACTATTTTTACTTATAATTAATTTTTTACATCTTTGATTTCATACTAATTTAGTCATCTCTTATTCTAAATTATATATACCTCTAGTTCCCTTGAAATTATATGCGCTAATGTACGCTAGGGTACATGAAGGTCAGGGTTGATACAATCCAAGGTACTACGTATTTGGCTCAACTTTGTTATTGCGGTAACAGTGGCCGTAAACAACTTTACACATACATTTGAATTTCATTAAGAGATACTAGGACTTCACGGGAGTACAAATAATACTAATGCCATTGCACGTGTTTAAAACAACACGAACAATGACATTATAACTATTAGAGAGTGGTAATGTTCATAGCTTATAACATAAACACT